GGACCCAGGCTCGCCCGGCTGGGACCTCGGATCGCCTCCATACACCCAAGGGGACCTCAGAGCAGGCCTCACCTCCTTGGAGGACCCCGACCATGTTGGAAAGCCACCAGGACCACAAACTGTATTCCACTCTCCTTGGTGACCTCAGACTAATCCCAGACCGCGCCCCCAAATTCAGAGGGACCCCAGATCATAGCTCAACGTCCAAAGGGATCTGGAGCAACCCCCAAGCCCCAAGGACCCTAAATCGTACCCCAGCATTCGGGTGGACCCCAGACCACACCCTAACATCTAGGGAGAACCCAGACTGTATGTCAACATCCGGGAAGACCCCCAGGTCGCTCCTTCCTCCCTCTGGGGATCCAGACCATATTTTATAGCCAACAGAATCACAAACTGGGCCCCAGCTCTTTTTGGGGATCCTCCAGCCTTGTCCTTTTACCCTCAAGGACCCTAACCCATTCCTTGACCCCCCAGCAGGGACACCAGGTCATGCCTAACTTCCAGGGATCCCCAAAATGTCTCGTTTTGGAAGGAAAAAAAAAAAAAAGCTTTATTACAGTCCCCAGACTCCTGGCATCTCAACCCCTTCCTATTTTAGATCCCATTGGATGGAAGGCGTCTCCCAAACCCTTCTCAGGTATTCTTCCTAGCCATGCCACTACAGAAGGCCTGCCACTCCCAGAGCAAACACCCCTGCAGGTCTTTCCTTTGTGACCCTAACCCTACTCACAACCATGAAAGGCCCCAGGGGACACTCCCAGCCTCCAGACACCACCTGCCACCCCCATGCACCATTCTCACCCCTTTCACGGTTCCTAGTGCTCCTTACTAGAGCATGGGGGTGCAGGGCCAGCAGGACAGAAGTGGGGGAAGGAATGACAACACGAATGAACATGCATGTAGTGCTACCATGTGTCAGCAATGACCCCACGGATTTTACATGTGTCACTTCAGCTGGTCTTCATAGCACACGGATGAGGAGGTCTCACCGCTATCCCCATTTTACAGATAAGGAAAACTGAGGCATAGAGAGTGTTAGTCATTTGCACAAGGTTACACAGGTAGTAAGAGGCAGAAGAGGATGAAAATGAAGCAAAAAAAAAAAAAGTGAAGGCAGATCTAGGGTGGACAGGAGTGGAAAGGGAGAGGGTGGGAAAAAAAGAGACAGCTATCCACAAAGATGAAGAAACCAGACTGAGAGCAGGAAGAGGTGACCTCACTCACAGTCTCTCTGGAAGCTCTGACACGTATGCACCTCTTGACTTCCTTCCCAGACACTTGTCTTCCAGCTTCAGGGATGACTCTGTTTCTCCAGCACACTGGCTCATAGCAGCCCCTGGGCCCTTGCTCTATTACTTTTCTGCACCCCATCCCCCTTTTCATTCACATTTTAAATGTAGTCTCTCCAGAGAGACTTGTCTTTTCCATCCCCCATCTCCAATTTACACACACACACACACACACACACACACACACCCCTAGGCTCACACCAGGATCTGCAAATTACTTTGAAATACATAAAAAATCAGGTGGATTGATGGATGGATATGTAATAAGGCAAGGACAGTGAAACGTTTATACTAGAATCTAAGTGCTGGGTGTTCATTATAAAGTTATTTCTCCTTTGCTGCATGTTTGCATTTTTTCATAATAAATGTTGGGGGTGCGAGAAGCCTCTTCTAGAGACTAAGAGGCTGTAAGGATCCCCAAGTGGCCCCACCATTCCTTTCTATCACACCAACTCCCTTTATTTCCTTCATAGCACATTTTACTCTCTGTAAGGGTCTCTCATTCGTTTCCTTGTTTACCTGCTTATTGTTTATTTAGTCATTCACCATTATTATTGTCTGGTCATTGAAATATAAGCCTCTGCACGGCATGGGCGCCCATTTCCTTCCATGCCCCATAGAGACTGACACACAGTAGGTGCTCAGTAAATGTCTGTGTGTTCTTGAAGGCCCCTTGGGAGAGTGCTGGGGAGCAAAACCTCCCAGCCTGGAGTCACTACAAGGGAGGCTATGTCCCAGCAGCTGTGGAGTGTCCTCAAAGGCTAGGGACTGTAGGTTGGCCTCAAGAATTGGGCAACTGATGGGAGTGAACACTGTGGTGGTTGAAGGGGGACCCTAATTTCTGCGCCAGACCTTCTAATACAGATCTGCCTCCTGTCCTATTTGTCCAGTTAGGCCCCGCCCCAAGCCTATGCTCCACCCTCAGGCTCTGCTCCCAAAACAAAACCTCACGCCCTGTCTGACCTAAGGGACAGCCATTCAGATGACTCACCCTGCCCTTCTATCTCAGAGACCACCCCAAACTATAATATTCAGAACACTTCCTCAACCAAGGCCCTGCCTGCAAGCCAAAGCCCTCATTCCAGTGCCGTTCCTTCTCTTTAGTCTCCATCCCAAAAGCATAGTAACCTTGGATCTAGGCATGGCCCCTATGCCTAGGCTGGGTCTCCTACAACCAATACCCACTAAAGTATAAACTTAGCCTCTCAAACAAGCTCACATTCACAGTTAAGAGGGAGAAATCTCAAGGGAAAGTCTGGGGCCCAGAGTTCAGATCTATGAGAGCGAAAAAGGTGGGATAGTGAAACTAGAAGTGGTATCCAGTTTCTGCACCCTTCCAGGGAGTCCTCCCAAACCTAAAAGTCACACCCTATGTGCTCACTCTCCATTGGATAACATACTGTTCTGGCCTCTCTGATTGGTCCTTCCACAATCCTAGCCATACCCATTCTCCTGAGTCAGCCTCTTTGATTGGATCTTGCTTTCCAAACCCTTTGCTGCTATTGGACAAACCCTTGTGCATACCCCTCTCTGATTGGGTTATTTACAAGCAGTGCCTCCTTGCAGACAGAAATGCAACTGTGGAGGGGTGGAAACCTCAGGAAAGAAGGGGAAGAGGAGGAAGAGGTGACGGTTCTCTAAATCTCTTACCTAGGAGAGGGTATGGCCATTTGATCACAGGGTACCCTAAGGCTTGAGTTCTGATTGTAGACTATGACCACGTGGCTTCAAAAAACGAATTTTGGCTTCTATGCCTCAGTTTCTTCACCTTTAATTGGGGATAATGGCACCTCCTAAATGAGTTAATACCTATAAAGCATAGTACACAGTGAGCCCTCGATAGAAAAGTTAGCTATTACCATCTATTTGATTAAAGTGCAGGACCTTGGACAAGTCCCTTTGCCTCTCTGACCTCTGCAGGTCACTTTTCTTTTCTTTCTTTCTTGGGTTTTTTTGTTTTTTTGTTTTTTTGTACCAGGGATCGAACTCAGGAGCTAGCGCTTGCGAAGCAGGCATAGGAACCGCTGAGCTGAGTCCCCAGGCCACTCCTAGTTCTCCTGATTGAACATCCTACCCCTCTTAACCTCAGCTGTCCTTCCTTTCCAGCCATCAGGGACCGGGGCTGTGACAGAGGGATGCATGGAAAGACGAGGGTTTGTGCGGGCGGTGCTAGCGGAGAGGAGCTCAACCCATCCATCCCCAAATTGAGGGCAGGAGCCATTTCTCTATGGCCCAATGTAGAGTGACTCTGTCCTGCGTTCCTCACGCCAAGGGCTCGTCGTGACGAGTGATACCAGGGCAAGGGGCTGATGTGGAGGGTCTGGTGTTATGGCTGGGAGGGAGGAGGGAGGGGTAGAGCTGGGCTTTTAGAGCCTCCCCAGGGGGGCCAGGGTTGGGGAAGGGACAGCCCAGGCCCAAGGTCACAGTGTCATTGTTACCATAGCAATGGCCACCTCTCCACAGGGAACCTGGAAAGGAGTGGAGGGAGGGCTTTCTATGTCCCTGAATCCGTGAAGAGAGAGGAGGAATGGGAGACAGAGGGGAAGCAGGGAGGCTGGGAAGGCTGTGATTCATCTTGGCAAAGCCTGCCTATCAGGATTAGGTGCTCATTAAAGGTCTGAAGACAGAGACCGAGGAATGAGTTCAGTGCTCAGAGATGCTCGAAGAAAGGGAAGAATCAGGTAGGCTGGGGTCTCCTTTTCCTTGACTTTTCAGTGCCTCTTTGGTTCACGGAGGATCCTGGATCCTCTTTGCCTCCCACAGCCCTGGGCCCTCCGGCCTAGCCAATCAGCTAAACTGTCCACCCCCAGCAACTCCGAGCCCCTGAAGCCATTATATTTGATTCTTTGACACCTTTTTGGCCTTTAAATTCTTTCTGCCTGCAGGCTTAGCTAAGTGGCATTCAGTGCTGATGCCTGCTAGCACCCAGAGCCCAGGGGACAAGGAGACGGGAGGGGAAACCAGCCACCTGCATCCTTTACTCTTAGGTCGACTTATGCCCTTAGCAGGGGCCCACCCATAAACTCGAGTCCTTGCACTTGCAAGGCAGGCCACCGAACCGCTAAGCTAAATCCCGGCCCCTTCCCCATGAAATCCTGTAGGCCCCTCCCATTCCAAGAAACAGGTGTCCTTTCCTCTAGGAACCCAGCTCTCTTCCACTAGGTCTGCCCGCCTCCTGCCGGCCATATGGTGGTACTGCAGGAATTGCCAGCTACCACCCACAAGAAGGGGCAGAAATTGAGTCAGGATCTGAGTTCTTGCATTTTTAATTTCTTTACGATCTTGGATGTTCTCATTTTAAGAGTCCGTGTCCTCAGTCCCCTTGGCGGTTCAAACATCAGGAATTCAAGTCCCTGACTCATAGATCAACGAAAAAAAGACAACTTCTCTTGAAGCCAGGCCTCAGTGAGGTCATCTGTGGTGCGGATTTCAAACACCTGGCAAAGATCTCAACATTATGATCCGGTGAGGACTCCAGACGTCTCAGACATAGGCGTCCAAGCCCCAGCCTCCTCCCTCAGACCCGGGATCCAGGCCCCCAGCCCCTCCTCTCCCAGACCCAGGGGTCCAGGCCCCCACCCTGTCTTCCCTAATACCCCAGAGCTGAGGCCTGGCCAGGACCTTTGTGAGCTCTGCCGTCTGCACGAGCCTGTTTTTACTCCCTGCATACATCATCTGCTGTTCGGGCTTGCAGCCTGCATGGAAGACAGAAAGGTGTGTCACTGGAGACCCAAGTATGCTCTGCGAAGCTTTAGCAATGTCCTGAAGACTGGGCAGTTTGGGGAGGGTTTGGAGCTGTTCTAAGAGGTCTCTGAAGACTATACTCAGAATTTGAAATTTGTTTGGGATCTTGAAGTTATTGTGAGGGTCTCTGGAAAACATTTAGGGGCAGATGGGGATTTCTAGGCAAAAGGAAGAGAAGTTGTCTTCTGCCTCAGGATGAGGACAGTTGGGCTCTTGCTGAATCTGAGCCACCACACTCACCTCACTGCCCTCACACACCACGAACCCACATACCTGTCCCGTCACACGCAGCCTCTCACATGGTCACTCTCTCTTTTCCTTTTTTTTTTTTTTTTTTTTTTTTTTTTGTTGTTGTTGTTGTTGAGCCGGGGCTGGAACCTAGGGTCTTGTGCATGGTAGCTAAGCACTCTTGTTTTGTTTTGTTTTTCTGAGACAGGGTCTCACACTGTGTATTTTAGGCTGGCTGTGAACTCACTGTGTCCCAGACTGGCCTCAGCAGTCTGTACCACCGTGCCTGTCTCTAGGCGCCTGTATACATTTGCACAAACACAATCTCACATTCATACTCTAACCCAGGTGCCTACATCTATTCACAAGCATATGCACAAGACAGTCGCACATTCCCCAGTCAGGATCTAAGACCCACTCTCCAGGGCAGCCCAAGCTGTGTCTCACCTACAGGGCTGGAGAAGATGAAACACAGTGGGTAGGAAACCCGGCCATCCTCGTGCACGTACTTGTAGCTATAGACCACAAACCTACACCGGTGAAAAGGAATTCAAACTCAGGACTTGGGCCTGGAGCCCAGGCCCCACAGCCACTCCTCCAGTCCACAGGATTGTTGTCTGTCTGTTTGTATTGTGGTACTGAGGATTGAATCCAGGGCCCACAGACTGAGCTAAATCCTTAGCTTGTTTATGTTTAGTGGCTCAACTGGGCTAGGCTCATACTTTCAAACCCCCTGCCTCAGCCTCCCAGAGGTGGATCAGAGGTTCACATCACCACACCTGGCCCGGTCCATGAGTCTGAATCTTGACTGAGCCTGAGAACCCATAGTTAATGCCTGGGACCCAGAATACTCATGTCATACACAACAAATGATTACAAATAATAATTGTCCAAGGGTGGGGTGTGGCTCAATGGTAGACCACTTTCGTAACATGCATGAGGGCCTGGGCGGCCTCATGTGTGATGCCAGGTGGGTGCTGCCCCTGACCTCCCCACACCAGCAGGGGCCTGAGGGCAGGTGCAGAGTCATGGCTGAGAACTTGCAGGAAGCAGCAGCAGGAGGTGGAACCCGTGCTCCATCGTCCCATCAGACTCCATGCAAAACACAAATTCAAAGAAAAAATGACAAAAGAATGTCACATTGGCCCAGTGTAGTGGTGCACACCTGAAAGTTCAGGTACTCCAGGGGCTAAGGCGCCTGTATACATGTTTAAAGGGCTGGGGATATAGCTCAGTGGGACAGTATGGGCCTAGCATGCAGCAGCCCCTGAGTTCCAGCCTCATCACTGTGAGAAGGAAGAAGACAAAAACCAACTGACAGCATTAACACCAGATTCAAGGCCCCTTTCTGGGCGCAGCACTCCATGCGATTGTCCAATGCCCATGTGGAGCTTCTCCTAACACAGACCTAGAGCCTGATATTGAGGCTTGAAATCAGAGAGACCCAAAATGAAAAATGAATTTAGAAAAGATGAAAAATATGAACAGACCAGTTTTATAGACGTGGTCAAAGAGCTCTTCTGAAAACAACAACAAAACACCAGGCTCGTGTGGCTTCCTACAGATTCGACCTAATTATTAACATGTGCGAGGCCCTGGGTTCAATCCCAGTACCACCATCCACTTCCAGAAAAAAAAAAAAAAAAAAAAGTCCCTTTGCTACCCAAAGCATTCCCCAGCATTGAAAAAGAAGGAAAATTTCATTTTTTAAAAAACAGGTATAGAGTCGGGTGCAGTGGTGTACACCTACAATTCCAGGTACTCAGGAGGCTGAGGCAACAGAATTGCAAATTCAAGACCAGCCTGGGCAATTTAGTAGGATCCTGTCTCAAAATAAAAAAGAGATACATAAAGTAGGGCTGGAGATTTAGCTCAGTGCTCCCTGGGTTCAATCTACATAACCACAGAGAAAGGAGGAGGAAGAGGAGGAGGAGCAGCTGCTACCACCAGTGTTATATCAAGAGCAAAGCTTGACAAAGTATGTGCAAAACAGAAAGAGAAAAGTAAACGCTACACCAATATTATGTATAAGCTATCGGTGTAAAATTCTATAATAAGATAATAGCATACCACTAAAACTGTAGTTTTACAATATGAACTCCTGGCTGGGCATGGTGGTGCATGCCTGTAATCCCAGCACTTGGGAGGCTGAGGCAGGAGGATCGCTGTGAGTTTGAGACCAGCCTGGGCTACATAGTTCCAGGTCAGTCTCAACTACATAGTGAGAATCTGTCTCAA